CGGCTGCCAGGAAGGTTTCCTTGCTTTTGCAGGAAACGTCCTCACTTGGGGTGCCAGAACTCTGTTGCAACACTCCTGGGAGAAGTAAGCACAGCTCCTTCTGCTGAGGAACATGGACCCACCCGGCTCTGAGGCCCAGAGCTGAGGGAGACACCCCTTGTAGCTCCCAGCACTGTCCTCCCTGCCACTGAGTGCAAGGGAGGGAGGTTGTTTGGACAGGAGGGACCCTCCGAGGGCTCAGCTCCCACCCTGCCACCAGGACCAGTCACCCCTTCCAGTTTACCCGGTGGTACCTCAGAACAGGAAGTCCCCCCCCTCAGAGGCAGAGGGAGCCACCATTTTGTCTCAGCCACCATTTTATGGCAGGGAGCTGCCAGTGTCTCGCCCTGAGATTGGCTGATTGCCGTTCTACCTACGTGCCCTTCAGTCTCCCTCTGATTGGCTCCCTGCTTCATTGGGCCAGGAAATGCTGAGGTTGGGAAATACATACGTTTATTTACAACGCCAGCAGTGTAGGAGTAGATATGAAGGAGGGTACAAATGTCTATCTACGTGTCTATTTTAATTATCTGTAGAATCATTTAGGTTGGGAAAGACCTTTAAGATCATTGAGTCCAACCGTAAATCATGCCCATGATCAAAAATCCAGGAGCAGGGCAAGGGTATATTGTTTATGACATGGAACATGTGCAGGAAACAGGGACACATTTCCCGAACTACATTTTTACATGGAGATAGCCCTGGATGACCCTTCAGCTGAAGAAGGGGCAGGGAAAAAAATGGAAAGAAAATGGTAGTTTAAAGGGGACGCGTCTTGTGCATTTTTCAGTTGTTTATCGACACAGAGTTCAGGGCTACGCTTTCCTAGTGCACAGTGCCAAAGGCTACTTTATTGTTAGTCAGTTTGTGAAGGAAAAAATGGATGTGCAATTAATGTGTGGTAAACTCATGTGTATACATATACCCAGCCTGCGTATATGTTTCATAGAGTCTTTACATCTTTTACCCACAAAACCAAGCAGTCTCCCCCACCCTTTGGGTATTGAGAGCTGCAAAGGTTATTTACCCCGTTTTTTTCAAAAGTACTGAAAAGGACCACCTAAAGAGAACACATTTTAACACATTTGTGGGCACATGAGTGGGTCGATGTGACAAAATGAGATGGGGAGCTTGCAGAGTGCTTACCCAGGACCAAACTGCCTACACTGTTGATCACTGCAATGCACTTTTTGGCAGCAGCATAAATGGCATTTGTCTGTATTACAAAGCAGCCCGGGACTAAAAGCTATAATGCTGTCATTTTACTAGTCTCTATCCCTTCATCAGCAAAACAAAACAATACCCACTTGGGCACCCCAAAGTTATTTTTGAGAATTTAGACACAAGCTCCAACACCTGCACCATACACCACAGGGACGCCTTGAAAACCAGGGAGACCACTGCCAGCCCAGGCTACATAATAATCCATGTGCATGGATGCGTCAAAACCTTTCTCAGATATTTCTTTCACTCTAGACGCTCTGATATGATCTCCCTTTTCAAGCACAGAGGCACAGATTCTTTAATTTTAAACACACCCCTATATAGGGTTTGAAGGGTTCGTGTTCACGTGTTGTGCTTTGATCACTCTGCAGAAGTTATGACTGTCATTCCTTGTAAATGCTGACAACACATCAATGCAGCAAAAAGTGTTGCGTGCTGTAAAATATCTCCATATCTTGGTTTTGAGCATCCTGTTAGAACACTCTGTGACAGAGGCTCTTACTTCACGATTTGCCAAAAAAATGGTGAACATTACACTGCTTTAACAGTTTATTTAAAGGTTTATTTAAATCTTGTGTTGGGTTGGTCTGTAATTTCTGTGGCTAGCGCTCCCTGATAAAAATTGTTGTAAAAACCCCAGCTGTTTCAGAACCTGATTTGTCTTGCAGACCAATGGCCCAGGCATGCTTAGATAATGCGTCGCCCTTAAGTTGCACTGCTGTTGTGTTTGGAAGACTGTTTCATGTCCACCAAGTCTGCCTGCAATGTGCATCCACCTTTGACACAATCACCTTAATTCTTTTTTTAAAGTGTTTTCTTGCTGCCTTGTGTAAGCCATAAGTCCTGGTTTGCAAGCCAGGCTTCTCTTCAAATCAGCAGTTCACCTTTCAGCAGCTTCAAAAAGGGCATTTATATACCCACAGCTTCCCACCTCCTCGAGAATATCCATGAACGTCTTTTAACAGAAGTAGTGGTGTAGTCCACTGACATACCACTACTAAACGTGTACAAAATGTAACAGTGGACTATCTTTATCACAAATACAGAAAAGGTTTATTAACAGGGTGTGAGGGGAGTTGGTTGCCAGTTGGGGTTCTCCAGGCATTTTCATCTTTTGCCATTGAACACCACTGTCACTTCCATACCTGTTCTTTTTCTTTGGCTGCTGCTGGCTCGAACAGGAACACCAGCAGGTCATGGAACTCTTCTGAGTTCTCCATGCTCAGACTGCCAGCCAGAGTTTTTTGAAATGTTCAGTAGTGTCATTGGCCTTATGGGCCTTTAGGAAGCACATGTAGCACCAGTCTGCATCCTGTCATGGTCTTAACAGGTTTCTGTAAGATCCACCAGAACCACTGGCAAAGGAAGCTCCCTACCACCATCCGCCCTCTCTGTGCCACACTGAAATGTAATTTGTGGTTTGCAGGCCCACCAGCTGTTTTTTTGGGTTGGCATGAGCATTTTGGGGAATCCTGTAGGGTCTTACCAGCCAATGACAGTGACCAGAAGAGCAGAGGGACTTCTGGGGCAAAGTCTGGCTATTTCATGGTCCTTTTGTTGCTCCCAGTAGTGCCTGCAGGGGAGAAGACATTCCCCCACTGTGCAAAACAGGCAGGATCCCTCCCATCAATCAACTCCTGTGTGCAAAATAGTATTTGCCATTTACTAGGGAGAAATTAAAAGGGCAATACTTGAACGCTTGATCAGAATTTACATTTTCGTTTCCATTCTTGTTACAGCCGCCACTGCAGACAGACCATGTGGAAGGGCTCCAGGCCAAAATCATGTGTACAGCCACCAGCTGCAAGGGGAAGGGCACAAATGAGCATCTCTCCCAACTGTCTATCCAGGGCTGCCAGGCTATTTCCCAGGTAAAGACACTGTGTGAGAAACACTGAGTTCCCCTGGGCATGCGTGGCCTCATATTTTGGCACCTCAACAAATGGCCACCCCTACCATGCGTGGCAAAGCATGGTCCCCAGGCCTCTGCTTGCCATGGCACAGGCACAGCTTGTTGCTTGCTGAAGAGAAAACAGGACTGATACTTAAGGCTAAGCAGCTTTAAGTCTCCCATGGCTGCGGGACCCGTTTTTCATTTGTGCATAGTGCTGTGTCCAAACATCGCAGCAAGGGGTGTCTACACGCCAAGGGAATGCAAGCTGGGAGCCAACGTGGACCCCAGCACAGGCAGTGCCCTCACCAATGAAGTACAGCTAGTTGTTGGTAACAGGGTCCATCACAAGTCCCAGAGAAGGCAAGTGATAAACCAGGTCCAGAATCCATGTGGGAGTGCAGTCAGAGGAGCTGGGGCTGGAGATGGGACTGGAGACAAGCTACAACATCTGGATGATGGGTCCATGCAGAAGACAAGATGCCAACAGCATAGGTCTGACCTGCCTCCAGGAGACAGGGCTGGGGGCTGAAGGCCTACACCTGAGCTGAAATGTGGCTCACAGAGGTGGGGTGAGGCATCGGAGAGGTGAGGTGTGTAGGCCCCAGGTAAGGCTGCTCAGATCCCCGAGTCCCTTTTTGTGCAACCTTCCTTCCCAGCAAGGGGTATTGTCATACCTTGCAGAGATCTAGGTTTAAAAGTGACTTGCTCAGGGTTGTAAGGGATCACAGGTCCTCTACCCAGGCAAAGTATAGCTGTGTGCTCCAGTTTGCTTTATAAAAATGAAAAATAAAAAATATCCAATTCCCAGAAATGAATAATCCAGCCTCCCATTCATCACAGTTAAACTAACACACTCGTTTAGATGAGACAGCTGCTTGCTGAGAATTTTATTCCATTACAACACTGCCACCTCTTGTTCATCTGCAGATTTTATTTTGCCCAGCTCCAGCCTACGGTGGATCCACCACCAGCCCAAAGGCATAAAGCCCCCACTACTTCTGTTAACCTTACAAGGTTAACTGACTGGATGCAACATCATGTACTTCCTTACAAGTTACAAACAGGTAGAAAGCCTGAAAACATCCCTTGACACGTTATATCAGTGTTGACTGGTACATAACTCTTTCTCTGGTAACTGAAAGAATGAGGTACCAAAAGAAAGGAGGTAGGGGGAACAAACAACCAACAAAAAAACCCAGAACGCAAAACCCAGCAGCAAAACCCACCCCGGCAGAAGATGTCATGGGATTTTTCCAGGGAGTGTGAAAGGTACTGTGTCCATGCAACGTTATCTGCAGACTCTGTGACTTCTCCTGATGGGAATCTCAGTTGTCGGGTCAGTACTTGCCCCATCTTCTACCCCAGAGGCTGCCACCCAATAGAATGCATTTTCCTGATGCTGGTTAATGAAGAGCAGTGCCTGTTCTGCCTCTACCAGGGGCACCAAGTCTGTGAATTGCGTGGAAACCTCCTGGAGAAGACTTGGCTGAAAATGAGCAATGTGAGTTGATCATCTTTATCACTGAGTTTCTGACTAGATGGTTTCTGGGAAGAGGTTCAGCATGCCCTAGAAGACAGTGGACCAGAAGAAGGTGGATTACACTCTGTGCTATCAGGTAAAACATGGGGAAAGCCCACAGAAAGCAAGGAGAAGAGACAAATGGCACAATCATGCTGGGCCACTTTGTCCCACTGCTTGCCATTCAGCTAGCTCATTTGGTTGGGGTTAGACTGGTGACAGAGATGGGTTTTCTGCATGGGTTCCTTGATTTCTAGCGCTTTATTTCATTTTTATTTCTTTCAGGCAGATTTAGACATCAGTTATAAGTAACACCCCCTTGAATTAACACTTTTTTACGACGCTTTTTCATGATGTCTGTTTGTGTTTCAGTCTTGGTGTGCACAGTAGCTGAGAAGGGTTGTAGTGTGTTTAGCCAGACCCAGGTGCCTGGGAGCTGCCAGAAGCCCGAAAAGCTGATGAGGAGCCCAGGCCCACAGCAGCGATCCCCTGGGCAGTGGGGCCAGCAGAAGCTGCTCATCAACCCACCATGCAGAAAGAAGGGACATGGCAGCCATTCTGTCAGGAGTAGTTTTCTCTTCACATTTGTCTCTAGTTGGAAGATCCAATCAAAAATAAAATGGGGGTCTTGAAATGGAGCTGCCAGCAGGCGAGCAGATTTACCATGGGTGATTCCTAATGGGCTGACACTTGAAGGAGCTGTTTTTTTTTTTTACTTCATACGCATTTAAAATGTTATTTCTGAACTGTAGGATTGAATCCAAACTTTCTGGCAGCCCCCTCTGCTGTCTAAACCCAAGATGAACCCTCAAAACCTGGGATGCTTGTTTTGGGCGCTCGGTTAAAGTTGTGCATAGGGCCCACTTTGGAAGTGTTAGTATGTTCTCTGGCTCCCTTGCTGATGTCGACTAAGACAGCCTCGCTTTCTGTTCTCATAGGTGCCCCAATCTAGCCAGAGGGCTCCAGTAGCTTTTCTGCAGACTTTAGAGTCAGCAGAGGCACAGGATAGTCCGAGAAGGATTTATTCCTGAATAGTCTTTCCACAAGAGGTCAGAACTATGGCAATAGGCATTTGGTCTCTCCACAAACTGGTCTAGGAAGCTGTCCCCCTTTCTGCTGTCTGCAAGACTGTCCTGTTTCATGCAGCCATCTGTTGAGGAATGTGTCCTTGATGTTGATCTCGTCACTGAGCTTGTACTCTGCATCAATGCCCACAGAGAAAGGGTAGGAGCTGCTCTGCCCCTTCTCTCTTTCTTTTTGGTGGGTAAAAATGTGATACCTGCAGAACCCAGACCCTTTGCACAGAAGGTGTGAAGCTGAGACTATAACAAATCCACGTTAAGTTCCTGTTGAGCTGCATTGTCCTCAGTGATGTGGTAGGACCCAGCTCTCCCACTTGGGCCAAGAGAGCTGGTACTTCTGCATGGAGCTGTTCCTCCCCCAAAGGCATTTTGGTGGCAGGACAGAGCCTCACAGCCAAACCCATCCCACCCCCTGGAGCGGGAGCTGGGCAGGCCAGGGGGCATCAGGAACCTCCCCAGGGACCAGGATGGGGATAGGCCAAGGCCAGGCTGGCACATCAGCCCACGGGACCCATGGCTGAGCAAGACAGTGCTGTGGGGAGCTGGAGACCAGCACCCTATGGCATCAGTGGGGCATGGGCTGAGGGCCCCAGGAAGGGCTGAAATGGTGTCCTGGGCAATGGGCAGGGTGGGGAGAAGACCTAGGGCGGGGGGCGGGGTGGGTAGGAATAGCCCTTGAGGCCCATGGTTGGCCTTGGGGACGTTACAACCTCCTGTTCAAAGGACAGTGGAGACTGCCAGAGGTACAGACACTCGTCTGCTTCTGAAACACCATGATAAGTGTGACAAAACCCCGCAAAAGGGAAAGTAAAATTGAGACATCTTTTGAATGAAAAACGGTGTCATCTCATGTCATTGATTTTAGGAGTGAAAAATATGCAAATGTCAACTTTATCCTGGCTGTTACAGCACAGGTTTCTCTTACCTGCTTTTTTTCAATCTGTACAATAGAAATAACTGTAATGTAATGTAATGTAAGTGGTCATGAGCATAATCAACGTGATAGGAGCCCTCAGGCTGGAACACACAATATAGCAGACAGTATTCTCCTAATGACAGCATCATGCAAGTGAACCAAAAAATCCCAGTCTCCTTAAATCGGGTTTTGGATTTATAATTTTCTTCTTTATTTAAACCACATTTATAATTTTGAGCACTATGATCAGGCAAAACAAGAACTATAAAATTAACACACAAGCTGAATCATTCATGATATATTTTAGTCCAGTATTTCATGTTTCAGTCCAATTTTGTTTAAATAAGCCTGCAGAAAAAATGTTACACGTTGAAATAATCTACACGGGACCTGGTTCATTGAGTTGGCTGTGGTACCTGGGATTGGACTCAGTGCTGAGGGGACCACTGAGCAGCCAGCCTATGCGCTCCATGCCTGAAAGCATCCAGCTAAATATAAGTCCTTTTTATTGTGTTTGGGGGGGGGAAAAAACAGATGCTACAAAAGTTATTTCATTATTCCACAAGAAATCAAAAGTAAATGCCTCTACGCTGTCCCTGGGAAATACCATAAAGACATCCACAAGCACAGTTACCAGTTTTCAAAACCTAACACTCACGTCCAGCCCTGCGAATGCACAATCACACCTCTCCCTCGCAGGCCAGCACCCGCCCACGGGCACAAAAACTGCAGTCACAGCTGGTCATCACCTCTGCCTGGAAAATCCCACTGCTCCATCCCTGCTCACTTTGTATCTCTTTCTCTTTGTA